TTCCTATTTTATGTTTTTTTTTCTTTTTACACGAAACAAAATGTACACAAAGATTGAGTAAGGAGTATGTATTTTTTAATAAAAATTTAATTGTATTTTTTCAGTATTAATATTTTAAAGTTTTATTTGTCTTGGAACCTAATGTACCTACTATTGTTTTCTACTGACAAAAACAGATCTGTTTTTGTTGTTGTTTTCAGTTCATTCTTGTGAAGGGGAGAGAATTTTAAGTTGCATTCTTTTTAGTATTTTTTTAAATAGATGAAGCTGTTTTGCCAAGGTCATTCTTAGCTTGTTTACATCTGTACAGTTCCTTGTGTTGTCATTGTTTGTACACAAGGAATCTGTGCTTGTTATTTTAATACCAGCTGCCTTCTCCATTGGCCATGCCCTCCATTGTATACTGGACATTCTTTTCTGGAGTTTAAACTCACATAAGTGCATTGTCACAGATTATTATTTTAAAATTTCCCCCCATCTCCAAGGGAACCCTAAGTTACCTTATTTCAAATACCTGTCAGTCAAAGTTATCCTTAGATGAGGATTTTTTAAGTGAGTGAAGACAATAATCTTCCATAGTTGGCATGTGTGAAATGGTTTTTTTATGATTTAATTGATTTTCATTTTTAGTAACATTTAAAAATATTTTAAAACTAAATACAGAGCCCCCCCCTTTTAATCTCAATGTAGCTATGTAGTACTGGTGAACAACCATAGAGAAGTTAGATTTATTTTCATTAAAATAGGTAATTAAATTTAAATATCATAGAATAGAAGCCTGGTTTTTGAGTAATTTAATAATCTTTGATATCTTTATATGTAGATAAATCAGATGGGAAAAAAATCACTACTAAAGCCCTCTGTGAAAGACCCAGTGCACGCCAGTCTGGCCCAGTGGTTCCTCTGGGCAGCGTGGAATCTATTCCAATTCTGCCTGTTGCACAGAACAATCCATATATACATATTTAATCAGTTTTCCTCAAGTCTGCCCTTGCTGTGAATGCTAGTGATGCAAGCACAGGAACGCTTTCTGCTCTCTTTGGCTTAAAATAAGTATCTCATAGAATGGTTCTGTTACTTCTATTTTTGAAATGTGAACAAATTGCTAAGTAGCTGTCACTTAGCAATCATTTTTTCCAATGGTCAGTAGAGCTTTTATGTATCTTTGTTCTTAAAAATCCAGCATGGTATGAGTCTCAGGCAGAATTTTTCAATAACCGTTGAGCTGTGTGGAACAAGAAAATGAAAACACAATCCATGCCTTCCATCCGAGAGCAGCACTACTGATCATGGAATTTTGTGTTCTTTACCGAATCACATTGACTGTTTTCCAAGCCTAGTCTTCCGCAAGACAGTTTTGTGACATAACAGTGAGAGAGAGTAGGAAGATGATTTGGAGTTTCAAAATGCCGCCTTTAAAATTTGCTCCTTGATCCTGGTGACCACTCAGCGCTAATCCAAGTCACATGAAATGCAACTGTAGGAGCTCCTCAGCAGGTACACGTACCGCACCTGTGTTCATAATGTTAGATATAGTACATCGTGGGGGAAGAACTTGGGAAAGAGATGCTTTTCACTTAATAATCTAATCATATAGACCAAAGTGCTTCACTATTTCTGCTCTACGTTAAAGTGTTAGATTGGTGATTTTATATAATTGATTTATTTCAAACTCTAATTGAAACAGTATGTTTAAAATAATAACATGGTTATATTTCTCATAGGATAAAACATTCAATTCCAGAATATTGTTAGGATCCTGATGATGAACATTGTCCTGTATTTAGGAACATGGCCTCATCTGTTTTAAACAAAGAAACAAAAAATGTGGGAGACTGCCCATCACTGAGCACGACAGAAATACCCAGCTGAGAGTAGACTTAGATAACTACCGTTAAAAAACACAGGATGCACTATTCTTATGTATAAAATTTATGGTTATTTTCTATATCACCCTTCAAAGGGGATCTATTCAGGTTAAAAATCATATCTATGCTGAAGTCTTTATCTGGTGTTAATTCATAATCTCAAATGTGTTCATAACTGAAGTTGCTAATAATTATCACTTACAACAATTCAAAATTTCAAAAGAATTTGATTTGCTTTCTTAATGATTGTGCAGGCTAACCCTTGACCTATGTTTTAAATAACATCCAATAAATCTATATAGTTCTATGACTTTATGTTTTAATTAAAAGGGAAAATTCATAGACATTTCTATTAGATTTTATAAACCTCAAAATTCTCAAACTTTATCTCAGAGTCAAAATTTTCTGACTCTGGCCCTTTTTAATATTATAGATTTTTGTTCATATTCTTAAGTAAAAAACATTCAATTACTACTTAGCCTTTAAATGGGAAACTCAGGTAACTGAACTGCTGACTTTTCTGAAGTTCTTTAACAGATAAACTTCTTATAAAAGGGGTGTTTACCTAATCTTTTTTTGTATTTTACAAGTGCAATCGCTAAAAAAGAACAGCTAGCTCTATTTCTCCACCCCTATAGGATTCATGGGAAACTGCTCATGTCGCTTTAACTTACCCGTGTACTCATAACTCCTATGGCTGCTTGAAGCCCTTAACGGGCACGCTATTTGGTCTTAATGGGTAAGTGTAGAACGGTCTGGCTGATGGTCTGGTTGAAACAGAGCATATACGTATATCCCAGTGGAACTTGCGAAAGAAGACCACACCTCCGAAAAGTAGTTACGTGTTTTTATTTTGTTTTGTTTTTAACAATAATTTTAATATAAAGGTTCTTCATCCAGTGAAACCTGTTAGTTACAATTGTAAATTTTTTTTATTGTTCACCCACCATTTTTCCTGCCACACATTCCTCATATAGCTATTGTAATGGGTTCTAACAATTTGCATGGCATCCTGCTTTTTCAAAGGCGTGGGAAAGATGCTTGCCGTGGGTGTTTTGTTCATTTAGAGGTGGCTTCTTACCTGGTTCTCAAGCCATCTTTGTAGAGAGGGGCCTACGCAACCTGGCATCTTCTTTGGGTTACTCGGAATAAGAGAAGCTCAAGTTCTTGCAATGCAATCTCTGACACTAAGAAAGAAGACAAAATCTTTACATCTCTCGTTGCCATCTCCCCCAAGGGAAGTTTGCTCATTTTCCTAATTCTATAAAAAAAAGTTAATTTTAAGTAGTTTATTTTACTCTCTGATTTCATACTAAATACCTGATCAATAGTAGTGACATATTTACTTAAAGTGAACATTTCATGGTACATCTTTAGGAAAACTGTCAGCAGTACCCAGTAGTGAACAGATAAATTTCAGTATAATTTCAGTTTGTGTTTAGAGACTAAAAGAAGATTCGCTTCACATTCTCTTATTAATACAGTGATTATGTTACTCAAACAGTTCACATTTGTGTAGGATCTCAGCAACTCAGGGTAGGGTTCCATGCTAACCCCAACTTAGCAAACGGCACAGTTCTTCACGAGGAGGATGCCTCAAAGGTCTGCAAGGTTTTCTCACCTTTCCTTGCCTATTTAGACACAAGGTAAGAAATTTTGGACAGTCGACCAGAACTGCCACTGATTTTTCAGAGTTAGGCCTCAATGACATGCTTCTAATACAGTGTTATACTAGCCTTCCAAACAGGATCCACTCATATCACATTTTCCCAAGCCATTTACTGATACAAGTAACATCCTTAAAAGTTCATTTTGGGAAGAAGGGAGAGGGTCTCCTCTCACCCCAAGGAATTTTTTTTAATCAAAGACCTTTTGAAAAGGGTTATGTAACTTGGAACTTAATTTCTGGGCCATATTAAATAACAGTTCTTATTCATGGTTTTTAATGTGGTATAAATATGTTTTCTGCTAAATACCATTCCCCCTCCCACCTGATTCTGCCTCTTTAATGAAATATTTTTAATTAAATCTAATGCCTTATGTGCTCACTCAGTTTTCCCTCTGCCTCTTGTATTCCCTCACTGTCTCTGTGTGTTCAGATTGTGTCAAATGCTGGCAAAACCTCTAAGACCATCAAGAAAAATGCTTGAAAGTTGATTTGTCATCATGCAAATTCATGATAAAATGTCTTAATGTTATCTGGCTATGTAGTACATAGGAAGAGGAAATAAATAAAGTCACTTTTGTAATTTAAAGTTGAGATTTGTCCCTTTCTTATTCATTTGGAGAAATCATGTTTATATTTTGCATTTCTGTGGTATTTTTGTGTATTCTGCCACCAGGGCTCCCTGTACTCTGCAGGAAATGGGCCGCATGCATTCTTTCACTTTGTGTTTAGCCAGTCTCTGCAGTTGTGACTAATTATTTCCTTCCTTAATTCACTGTACTGCATGTACACAAGGTGCCCCTGGAATTTCATTTGGGTAATTAGTACCTTAATATGTAATCTGGAGTGCAATTTCTGTGCATTTGCCAGATCAGATTGTACAATTACTGTCCAGCCAGCCCAGCTTTCAGTAAACACTTGGTGGTAAAGACTGTGGTTAGTTAAAGAAATCAGAACGGTTCTGCATAGCTAGGAGGACGCCCCTGGTTAACCACATACACTCCAGGCTTAGGGAAGCCTTTTATAAGAAAATTTGTACCACTCATGCATAAAAATTTATGACTGGTAACTTTTGAATCTAAATTGTGACTTTACATATTTTTCTATAGTCATTTATGGCTCAGTTATCTTACTGATTATTAACTGACAGTCCTTTGAAGGACTATTGAGATGAAGAAGGGTTGGGTGTGGTGGAAGAGGCCATGGGATGTGTGTATCAGACACTGAGACGGCATTGTGCGAAAGCTCCTGAGACTTTCTGGAGACAAGAACTGAAAAATGCAGTAAGTGGGGACATTGGTCACTTCGGTGCAACTTGCATGTAAGATTGTCAATGTAAGAAACATTCAAACCTGTAGAGAACTTTTGTAAGTTTATTTGTGCCAAACTGATAGTTGCCAGAAAGCAAAACCTCCATGAGCTGAGAAAATGCTCCAGAGAAGGGCAGTTTAGCACCTTGTTTTATACATTACAATCAAAAGTGGAGGCGTAATGGGGTTACACGAAATCCATTGGTGGTAGATTAGAGAGGTGAGAGAAAGCAAAGCAGGGAATCCTCTGGGGTTGGATAAAAGGTAAATGATAGATACTCTTACACAGGTGGGTACAGGATAATTAACAGTCATCAATCAACTCGATAACAGTGAGGGGATTGGTGGTCTTACCCTAGCACAGTGCCTGTGCTTTGCGGGGGTCCTGCAAAAGGAAATTTGACATTCCAAAGGTCAATAGACAGGCAACAAGACAGGCTCAGTTAAGGTAAAGATCGACCTTTGTTAGGAAAAAATACTGGCCTAGGACATGACTGTCCACTTTGACCTGCTTTTAGTTAGAGAGTTTTTTATTTCACACCATCTTGTGGTTACTTTAGATATCCGAGTTTGTAAGGCCACCACACAGGCCTCCCCTGAGCTTGTTGGGTTTGCATGTCACCCCTTTCACAAGATTTTACCCACTGCCACCTTCCGTTATATCTTTCAGGCCTTTCATTTATGCAAAATATTGATATAAACATTGAAATGAAATAAATTGACTCATTTACTAATGTTGGCTAGCAAGTTGTAAGCATTTTGGTTGGGGTGGAAACGTACATGAGGAGGGAAGTCACTAAAGCCAAATTTAGACTCAGAGGAGTACTTAACTTAGCCATAGCACAGGGCCTGCATATTTCTGAAGGTGAGTTTGAATGTCATCCTAAATATCCAAATAGGAAAAAAGTGAAGAGCTGTCTATAAGCTGTATTATTTTTTATGTAAAATTTTTAATATAGGTTATACTTTAGGTTTCAGACCTAATGATACTTGAACAAACAAGGGCGAGAATGATCAGGATGCCATGAGTGATATTGTTACAGAACCAGCCGGTGGTGTTCTGGAACAGCTGTGGGGTTCTAGTGCCCGCCACCAAGCAGCGTGACTCCCAGTGCAAGAATCTGGTGAAAAAGGAAAGAGGTTGTTTATTTAAAGGTTATACAGGTTTAGAATAATGGCAGATTTCTGCCGGTAAGTCCCACTCCCTTTAAAAACACCCCAAAACACATAGTCCTTCCAAAACAGGCCACTTTCAGAGCATGCCACTTAGAGGCCCTGTCTTTCAGAAAAGCAGAAGCCTGCAGCTCAACATTCCTGGTTACAGTTCAGCTCCAAGCATCTCTCTTGAGTCTGGGTGGCTACGCAGGTACCCACAGCTCTGTCAGCTCTGCAGCTGTCTTCTCCAGGCAAACTTCCAGGCAGACCTCCTCTCTGACTGCAGGTTTCCTGGCTCTCTCTTTGATCTTCAGCCCACCCCAATTTAAATGCTTAGTCTGGAACTTCCTATGTGATCTCCTATCTGGTTCTTCCTATGGTGCAGTAGTGTCCACCATTTTTGTCAGGTCCCCAGTGTCTTTGACCCTCTTTCAGCTACCATCTTTAGGGCGAGAGCTCCCACAACACATGGGCCTTCAGGGTGGGCATCCATGCCCCTCCCTGCCCCCCGCGTCGTGATTCCCTGCACGTTCTCACAGTCATGTAGACAATTCTAGGGCAGCAGCCCTTTTCCCTTCAGAAAGGAACAGCTATTAACTGGCCTTTTGTTATGTAATGTGCCTAAATACTGCACCTTCTATTCTTCCCTCCCCCCAATCCTGCCTATAGGCAGACAGGATTATGAAGGTTGTCCCCCTACTTTCAAGGAATCCAGGCTCTGCACCCCCATTACAATAGAGCATTTTCAGAGTTTGAATACTTTGCACAAAAGACACAGCATTAGGCAAAGATCTTATCACCAAACCCAAATGTCTCAACAAACCAGCCATTCTGATTATTTCGAAGCACCAATTCTTCAGTTATAACATTTGGGAACAAGTAGAGAATGGACTTCTCTTTAGTGTATTTCTTTAGTCCTTTAAGAAATTAATTTTATTTCAACTCAAGTTACATCTAGACATCACCATGTAAAAAGTTCCTATCAGCAGTCTCAGGCAATAAAAGAAAGAGGCTGTAAGTGTTGTGTTTTATATCTCTTCCACAGCTCTAAAAATTTCAGCTTCCCAGCAATGATTTTGATATAGGAAAAAATTACATTTCCTACGTTTGATACGCAAAGTTTCTTAGGGTTTCCTTACAATTTCACATAGACTATGTGGGGTGACTTTGTTAAAATAAGACTCCAAGTAACGTTTGGCAGCGTTGAACTTCTTAGGCTAATTTAAAGAATAGTTGAAACCAATGCAAGAACTTGAAGGTGTACTCATGGTAGGCCTGAGGGGTAAATAGCCACACATTTATCAAATAGTTGATGAGTTTCATTTGTGCCTACTGAGTTATATGTATGAATCATAATTCTTAGTGTTAGAAATTGCTTTATGAGAAATACTCTGCAGTATAGCCAGTCTCAACACAAACCTGAAGTCTCAGGCACGTCAATGACCTCTAAGTGGTGTTAAGGAACAAATTATCGTAACACTTGTTAAAATGCTTAAGGAAGACTTTATGCGGGACTTACTATTTATTCTTTTCTTAACTCTCCCCAGGTCCTAGCCTCTGCTGGTGACTCAGACTCGCAGGGTGGTCACACCCTGAGCCTTCGCAGTGCCAGCACACGAGCAGACTTGGTTGTCCTGTGCATCCAGAAACAAAGCCAGGATGTTGACAGCCTCTGTTTTTTTATAAAAGTTATTTAAAATGAGTTCATGACTGTGAAACTGAAAACTAGAGATTCAGCTTCTGTCAGAACTACTTGGTCTAACCATTTAGCTACATAAATAGTTTGTGTTAAGTCCAGATAACTTCTCAAAGACACTGAATTTGTGTCCAATGGAACATATGAAGAATGCCACAGAATCATATGTGTATACACATAAACCCGATTTACATCACACAAAACTTCTGTCCAGTGAGGGAAGGAGAAAATGGAAGTGTGGGGGCAGAAAAGTGGTTTTCCTTCTACCCTTCTGAGTTCTTCTGGCTGGACTAATAATCGAATTAGCATGAGAGATTAACAGAAGAAAATGACCAAACTTACTATGTATATAGATGCTGGGGTTTCAGAAGACTACAAGACAGGAGAAACAGTGGGCGGTTGAGACTCCTATGCCATCCTGGACTAGGGAGAGGGAAGCAGGAGTCTGGAATCAAAGGGAGAGCAGGCAATTCACCAGTAGATGAGAAAAGCAAATGTGGTAAACAAATTCTTACTTAGTCAACTAGAAACAATGGGACATGGGACGTGGTGTGGAAACTAAGAAGCAGACTTTGCTTAGTTCCTGCTCGTCTGCCACATTTAATTCATATATGCTAAGGTGAATATGCCAGGTCTCCCTTCCCAAAGCAGGTTTTCTATTTGAATTTCTTAGGCAGGCAAGGGGGAGGTTAAAAAAAACAAACCTTTCTTGAGTTTGTTGGGCTTACTTTTCAGTTTGAAATAATCCTTGCACACCACAGTGGCACTCTCTGGGGAAACCAGTTCCAGACCCCTACGCTGACCAAGGAGCCTCCTGATGAAGGATGCTCGGTACACACTTTCTAAAATTCAGGTTGATTTGCCCCTTAGGTTCTACCAACAACAGTGTTAAAACAATCAAATCTCAGTACAGCAAACCAGCTAGACAATTATTTTCAGGAAGCTTTCCCTAACTCACTAAATAAAAAACTGCTAAAATATAAAAATCAATAAATAAAAGTTTTTTAAGAAACTTCTAGTGACTATTGAATGCTTTAATTATAAATTTGATCAAGAGCTTTTATCAAAAATATCTGAAAGTTGACTCTAAAACTTTAGGTAAATGCTGATAATGGCATTCTTAGTAGCACTGACTGTATGTGCCATAGTAAACAATTATAAGACAGAGTTGTATTCTGGGTTATTTTAAAATGTTTAAGATTATAAACATTTTTTCTTATATGTACAAAGAGGGGTGAAGTACACAAGCTTTTACTGGGAACTCTATAATGCTTTAAATAGGCTGGGCAATAAAGAGGTGTTATGCTTTATCGGTGTTACTTGAATTGATTAGGCAGAAAAGCATACAGTATTAATTATAGAAATGCCCCTTCTATCTTCAGTTCTACCTATTCAATATAATTTTGGCTTTTATATTAAGATTCCTGAGACACTTTAAAGTTTTAAGACTTCTTTAGAACTTCTCTAATACTTCCCACCTACCTATACATTTAGGGCACATATCACTTGTACTGTGGTTATTTTAGGACCTATCATAGCCCTCCTTCCAGACCTGGAGGCCCAGCAAGTGCAGAAACCAAGACTTACTTATCTTTGTGTTTCCCTAATGTGCTTCCCACTGTGACTCACAGAGAATGGGCCCTCACAGCTACTGCTGAATCAGCCAAGAGACCTAATTCTATTAACTGAGCCATCACACCTTCTCAAACTGGTTTCTGGGCATATTATTTTCCTAGGGTTTCTGTGGCAATGTACCCCACACTGGGTGGCTTACAAACAAACAAACAGAAATCTGTTTTCTCAAGGTGTCACAGGTGTGCACAGGTAACCAGGTTCTTAATGATCGAGGACAAAGAATTGAACTGAACACACAAAGTTTATAGCATAAAGAAAGAGGGAAGATTTATTAAGTGATAGTACACTCCACAGGACACGGGAGTGGGCCAACTCTGAGCAGAGAAGGGACACGTGGGCTGTACCATCTTTTGACCCAGCATCAAAAGTCACAAACGTCACTTCTACCATACCCTGCTTGTGGAAGCAGTCATAAATCTTACCCAGTCAGTTTAGGGGCCAAGGAGAGGGGACACAGGCCTCACCTTTCAATGGGAGGAGTATTGGTGTTACATAGTAAGAAGAATGGAACAGAAAATGGACAATCTGTCACACTATCCACACCAACGTCTACAACCACTGAGCAGCATCTTTCCCCAACTCTCCAATACTTACTCGCAATTGTAGATGAGAAATGCAGGGTCCATAGAAGGGTCCAAATAACACTCATGAACTTCACAGTCTTTTAGCATATCCAGTGATTATTGCGGAAAACCAGAAAATTGAGAGGGCTCGTGTTTTTCTTCACCTCTTTTCTTTGTTTCTAATTTATTTGAGCCAGCTTGAAGAATTTAGCAGAACTTCTATTATTAAATAACTGGAAGAAAGCCATCATTTCATTTTACAGAACACATTTTTAAAAGATTTTATTTATTTATTTTTAGAGAGAAGGGAAGGAGAAAGAGGGAGGGAAACATTGATGTGCGGTTTCCTCTCGTGCACCCCCTACTTCGGACCTGGACTGCAACCCAGGCATGTGCCCTGACTGGAAATTGAACCAGCGACCCTTTGCTTCATAGTCCGATGCTCAATTCACTGAGCCATGCCAGCCAGGGCTACTGATCACATTTTTTAAATAATCCACTTTTTGGCAAGGTTTAAAGTAGTGCTTTCACAAATTTTATTTGACCCTCATATGCTTCTCCCAATGTCAGCCAACATTTCCTGAGTTGCTCCAAGTTGCCTGCGTACACACACACACACACACACACACACACAGACACCCAGGTCTGTGACTTACACAAATTGACAAGAGGGAAAGTCTCATCCGTGTCCCTGGTGAAAAGCGAAGAGATCTGGGATGGCACCTTAGCCAAGTGCCGCAGCTTCTATTTTTATCCAGGCTCCAGAAGTCTGCCCACTGCCCCAGCTCCCTGCACCCGCCCAAGCCGGACAAGCCCTCGCGCGACTGGAGCACAGGCAGCAAGACAAGGTCTCTGAAGCCTTCGACCCCACCCTTTGCAGCAGCCTTCTCGGGTAGGTCGAATCCTAGCTGAGGAGGAACATTTGGGGGTTGGGAAAAGTTTTCTAGGAAACAATTACTCACAAGCAATGGGACCAAAAAAGTTCCAGAGATGTTCTCCAGCAAACCATTTAAACGAATGACTCGCAGCTGGGCAGCCTGCCCTGGGACGACTCATGTGAACTGAATCTATGTAATGTGGCATTAAGATCTGTGTTCTCCCGCCAACCTCATAAATCTTCAAACCAGTTCATGGAGGGCTCCCCTCCCTCCTGTTCACTCTTATAAAATCCACCCACATATTTAGCTCATTCAGAAAGAATAATGATTTAATAGCATGTCTCCCATTATAAGGTTTTGCCACAGATGTCAGCTGGAGTCTGAATGTCTCTGCAGATTTAAGTGCCATAGGCTACACCCCCCATTCCATGCCCTTTGGAGGCCCGGTTCCCTCCCAACGCATTCACAGTTTCTGGTGCATTCATGTTTTCAGGCTATTGGCTCTGAACATCTGTTTCTACAAATCATCTTCCACGCATCACCTCACCATGCTACCCATTCAGTCCCTGTTCTATACCTAAAAGACAAGTCCACCCTCTTCCTTGATTTCCTCCAACACTAGCACCAAATTTTTATGCATTTTAGAGACTTTAAAGAAGGTTTGGAGAAACAGCAGAGCATTCGTGATTGCCACGGGGAGCCATTTTAAAGCCCCACACGGTACAAGCCCACCAGCCTGTCCACAGTTACTCAGCCGCGCCCCCTCCCTCTCCCAGCTCTCTCGCGCTTCCGGGCTCTCAGTCTCAGATGCCTCCCTCCCAGTGTGGGGCGGTTTAACTTCCTCTCCCTCTCCCTGTCTCCTGGGAGTGGCTTCTGCCTCCCCCGACCTCACCCTGTCACCTGGGCAGCTTATTAAGGTTTTTCTCAACACACTTCCATCCCGTAAGAGGAATTCTGGTGTCTGCCGTTAAATTGTTTTCTTAGCCTGCTTGTTAGAGGTTGTTGCTCTGACCTGCATTTCTCTGACTATTCATCCTATCTTTTCCAACATCCCCTGCCTTTCTCTTCCCTCTGAATATGCCAGATCTCCAGGTGTAATCCTCAGCTCTCTGTTCTTCTTTGTCCCTACACCACCCCTTAGTGACCTCATTTATTTTCAGAGTGATGGCTGCAGCCTTTCTATAGTAACTCCCAAATCTCTATAATTACGCTTCTCCTCTACCTCTCTCTACCAGCCGTCTTCTGTACACTTCCACTTACCCATCATCTCAGACTTAATGTGTCTGAGAGGAAACCTCTTCTAAGCATGACTATTTTAAAAGTAACAGCCTCCAATCCTAAATGATCTCCCCACAAACCTCTCGACCCTCCACCTTCGCTCTCTCCTCGTCTCCATTGCTGGACTAGTTCTCCAAAGTGTAACTCTGGTTTTATTGCCCCTCTGCTCAGAAACCTTCCCACTGTCTTTTTTTTTTTTAAAGATTTTATTTATTTATTTTAGAGAGAAGGAGGGAGAGAGAGAGAGAGAGAGAGAGAGAGAGAGGAACATCAATGCGTGGTTGCTGGGGGTCATGGCCTGCAAGCCAGGCATGTACCCTGAGTGGGAATCAAACCTGCGACACTTTGGTTCGCAGCCTGCGCTCAATCCACTGAGCTACGCCAGCCAGGACCCCTACTGTCTTCTTAATGCAGTCTGTAGGCCTTAGCCTGCCCTTCAAGATCCACCCCAATGTAGGCCTTGTCTGTGATTCCAGCACAGGCCCTGGAAGCCAAAGGGAATTCAAGTGCTCGCTGTTGGTTTACCTGATGTATGACATTGGGAAGGTTACTGTGAGCTTCCTGACCTCTGCTTATATTAAAGACATCCTTGTTTTGGCATCTTCCCAGGAAGTGCTGAAATGTTAAGTGTTCCAATGCTGGCAACACCCCAGTTCTGTCCCTACTGAACTGTAAATTTCTTGATTATCACCAGTCCTGGTTCTAATCAAGGTAAGACCATCTTACTCTTGAACTTTTACCTGTATCCTCAGCCACAGTCATACCTATTTTCAAGGTCTCTGTGATGCAACCTTAAGGTTTTATAGCAAGAGAGTAAAATAAAGTGACAATGTAATAATATATACATATAATATATGTGCACATATATACATATATGGGTGTATGCATATACAATATATACATGTAATATATACACAGCCAGCCAAACAGATGGTTAGTTATATTGTGAAGCCATTAGTGGGGGCTATAAGGAGAAGGGAATGGTGTTAAGGAAGGATGGTTTGTTCCCTTTTCTCCATTGGTAACTAGAGATACAGGGGTTAAGGGCAAGAGCCAAGACTCTGGCTCCCTGATAGCATCTGAATTCAAACCAGAGTTTATACCCCTTCCCTGCCACTTTCTGGATGTGTGTTGTGGAGCAAATCACTTAGTCCCTTCAGTTGTAGCCCCGTTACCTAGGAAACGGCCTGCGGGGGCCCATACAAAGAGCTGTGTGATGAGTAGGGGTGTGAGGCATACAACGTGCCTGGATCAATGCTTGCACTCAACAAATTTACTGGTAAAGTCATGGATACAGAGAACAAACTGATGGCTGACAGATGGCAGGGGGTCAGAGGGAAAACACAAGAAAACATAAGACGAACAGAAGAAAAATGTAAAGGGATTAAGGATGGGGGCTGGGTGAAAAATGTAAAGGGATTAAGGAGTACAAATTGGCAGTTACAGAATAGTCATAGGGATGTGAAGTACAATTTAGGGAGTAAGTCAATGATACTGTAATAACTAAGTATGGTGCTAGGTGGGTGCAAGACTTCGCCAGGGGATGACTTTGAAAGTTTTATAAAAAGTCTAACCATTATGCTGTACAGCTGAAACTAACACAATATTGGATGTTAATTGTAATTTAAAAATAAAAATTAGTATCATGGTGACTTTGGACTGACCTCTGGATAATGTAAAAGGTAGCCTAAAATATTGTACATTTTCTAAAGTCAACACTTACTTAACACTGAGACTGTGCTAGGCATTGCTTTAGAGGCAGTAGACTTGTACCTTTGCCCTCAAGGAGGCGGAGCCTGCCAGGGGAGTCCCAGGGGAGCATTTATTGCTGGGACACGAGATGAATGGTAGAGTCAGCGTGTTCACGCTGTACTCGAGGAACACGGTGCTTTTGTTACAGAACAAGAGGGGGGCCAAGGGCAATATACTATTGCCCGAAAGAAAACCCCAGGTCCGTTATGTCCGCCGCCAGAGGAAAGACGTCTCTTAATGCCAGAGATTCATGAAAAGGAAAGGAAATGTTTATTTAATGCTATACAAACTTAAAGTAGTGACCTAATATCTTCATCAAAATCCTAAAGTCCCTTAAAACACCCACAAACATTTGCCCAGTCTGGGGTACCGTATCTCAGGAAAGGAAATAGAAGTCCTTGGCTCAGGCAGCCCCTGGTTCTTCCCAGCAATCCATCTTGGCGGGGAGACCTCCCTGGGTTTCAGGCACTCTCGGCTGTGTCACCGGGATCTCTGCTAAAGCCAAGTGGTGGTTCCCCCTTCTAAAGCTGCAGAGGTCCCCACTCTGGCAAAGGCACGTGGTCCTCTCTCCACCACTCCAGCCGAGTGGTCCTCTCTCTTCCAGGCCCGCGGGGGTCCCCACTCAGCCAAAACTGCGTGGTTCTCCTTCTCAATGGCTGCCATGTCTGGGTTTAAATCCCCAAGCCAATCTTTCTCTGCAGCCCCATTTCCGACTCCTCCCACACTCAGCCACACTTGCCCTCAATCTCCTGTCCTTTCCAGCTTTTCTGGCTGCCATTGTGGGTCTGGGCAGGTGTGGCCCCATGTCAATCTTCTCCGAGCTCCCACGCAGGTGCCGTAACTTGGGGGACCTGCCCCCCAGTCACATCTTGGGGTGGGGGTCCCTTTCCATCCCCCTGGCCCAGAGCATGGCCACAGCTATTCAGCATATCTAAGCGACCAGCCAAAGGCTATAGGTATGTTAAATGATCATGCCATGGATTTAGCTACAAAGCTGTTGCTGTAAAAAACAGCCCTGCAAGTTCTTGCTCCGTGTGCAAGAACTCACACCTGTGGGGGAAGGGGTGAAGACATCTTAAAATCTCCTGGACACCTTGAGTTCTGGACCCCATTTCAAATGCCCATTTGGGGTTCCCCCCTCTTGGCTGCATCCTGTAACACTTTCTCTACCAACCAGCATTTCCTGAGCACATTCCAGTTACCAGCCACTGTTCTAGGTGCTGAAGAATCAAAAATAAATATGATCCGTGTTTTTAGACAGTTCATAATCTAATAGGAAAGGAGACTCATGTATTCAATAGCTACTACGTGTTCCACAAACTCAT